TCTGATATCTTTTCTTCTGCTTGATCAATTCAGCTATTAAAACTTGTGCATACTTCGTGAAGTTCTCATGTTTTTCAGCTCCATTAATTCACTTATGTTCCTCTCTAAATTGTGTATTATTGTTGACATTTCATCAAACCTTTTTTCAGAGCTCTTAGTTTCTTTGCATTGGGTTAGAACAAGTTCTTTTAATTCCCAGAAGTTTCTTATCATCCACTTTTTAAAGTCTGCTTCTGTTAATGGAACACAGTCTTTCTCCATCAGGCCTTGTTCCATTGCTGATGAGGAACTGTGATCCCCTGTAGAGAGAGAGGCGTTCTGATTTTGGGTATTCTCAGCCTTTTTAGGCTGGTTTCTTCCCTTCCTTATAGATTTATCCATCTGTGGTCTTTATAATTACCGTCTTTATAGTTGGGTTTCTGAATGGACGTCCAACTTGTTGATTCCTGGCGCTAAAATCTGAGCAACCCACTGCGCTGGCGTTAAGATTGATGGTGCTTTTCTGACTCTGCACCAAGAACCACCGCACCAAGGCAGCAGCAAAGCTGCCTCGCTGGCCACAAGAGTCACACTGGTAATCCGTGGGGCTCCTCCACTGGGAATCCCCTGGTGCGTGAGCAACAAAAATTGATCTGAAAGTATGGCATCCTCTTGTTCTCTGCGCTTTTAGTGGGAGCTGCAATCTCGAGCGGCTAGTGATCAGCCATCTTGGATCTCTCTCCATTAGTTGTCATTCTTTCTTAGTCTCCTCTGGATTGTGATAATTTCTGTCTTTTTTTGTTGTTTTTCATGACCTTGAATTTTTTGAGGAATTTTGATCCAGTGTAGAATGTTCCACATTTTGTATATATTTTTTCCTTAGTATTAGATTGGGTTATGGATATTTTGGAAAAGATACCATAAAGGTAAAGTATCTTTCTTATGATTTACTTTATTTTTCTTTTTTTCTTAAATCACATATAAAAAGTTCACATGGCTCCAAGGTCAAACTGTAAAACTAAAACGTCAGAATATTCTCAAGTTTATCACTCTTTCTTCTCTCGTCATCTTTCCTTTTCTAGAAATGTAGACATTTTTTTTTTTTATTAGTTTTTGGTTTATGCTTTCAATTCATTTTTTTTTTAAACACAGGCAAACACAAAGATGTACATGAACACAAATGTTAGTATGTGTCTGTTCTCTTCTCCTCCATAACATCAATCCATTTTTAGCTCCTATGTCATAGTTTCTCTTTAAGGCAGTCTCTTACAGTGACTTACAAAATGGCCACTTTTATTCAAAAAGGTTTTCTTTTTAAAAAGTTAACTTTTTGTAACTAATAAAAACCTTTTCCTGTGTCTTGAAAATATTTAGCATATATTATATGGTACCGTTTTTTTTATTCACAGATATTTTCCAATTTGTCACTGGATGAGCGTTGCCTTTCTGCATCATTGGTTTGCAAGTACTGGCGTGACCTTTGTTTAGACTTCCAGTTTTGGAAGCAGCTGGATCTTAGTAGTCGTCAGCAGGTATGGAATCTAATTCCAAGTAACACTCATATGACCTACTCAAAAAATATCTTTATTTCTCTTCAGAAATCTTTACTGTCTTTTTTTTTCTTTTAACATAGTTCAAATGACTATAATGTAAAATTTTGTGCTTTTGTATTTTTTTGTGTATGTGAATTCAAGTTAAAGCTGGATTCTCATAGTAAATAAGATGGTTTTTTTGGTGTAGATTGGTAATTTAGGGTTGCTATTTAATTCTTTTTTTCCTTGTCTTTTTCCATTACCTTTTCAAAACGTTGTTAAACTTTTTTTAATTGCTGGAGATCATATTAGTATTACTAGCTTAATAGTAGAAAATGATGGCAAACATTTCTGTAGTACTGCCTCTGTGCTGTGTACTGTTCTAAGGGCGTTATGCATATTAATTCATTTGATCCACCCAACAACTCTGTAAGTAGATACTGTTATTTTTTTTTTTTGTTTTACAGATGAAGAAATGGAAGTAAAATGGGCTAAGATAACCTTTTATTTTCTTAACTTTTCTTTTGGTGGATTTTCTACTTTTTCTGTTGCTTAGCTGCTTAATGTGTTTATATAGGGGCATAAATTAGGAAAAAAAATGTTTATTACTAACAGTTTTTTGGACTTGTTAGATCCCATTTTTAAAACTTGGTAGTATTTGGCATTAGAAATTTGTAAAAATATCAATAAGAATAGGATTTTATTGAAGTACTAAACCTGTTCTAAATTCTGCCATGGTATATTACTACTGGTGTCCTGACAAATGTTTAACAACTGGCTTTAAAACAAAAGCCTTGATTTGTAATATTTGCCAATTTCTATTATATAAATACTCCCACCATAACCATTGTCAGGCTAGACGTTATGCCATTGAATGCAGATTTGGAAAGAGGGGCACACTATAAACTCTTGTGAGTTGCAACGAGCCAGCTATAGCATACTGGTAGTGTATGTGTTTGTGTGTGTATTACACACACTTTAACCAAGTTAAGCAAGCTCATGAGGATTTGTGCATAAGTTGTTCCCTTTCTGTTTTTCTGCTTCATTAATAAGAGGTTAAAACAATTAACATAACTTGTTATTTATCTGCTTGTGTTCATGACATTTATGTCCAAGGAGAATGGTGAGGGAGTTAGTTGTGGACAGTGGAATGGAGAGAATATATGTGTAAAGCAATCTATCAGCTTGTTATTTCATTACTCTTCAATGTTTGAATTATTTATTATGAATTAATACTAAGAATAGCTTCCTCCCCGACACCACATTCCCACCGCTCCCAGCCCGATGTTGGTAGTAAGATATGGAGAATGAAAAAGTAAAAAATTAAAGGAAAGGTATGTCAGAGTTTTAACTTTTTCAGGAACTATGTTTATGCTGTTTCCAACAAGCATAAACATAGATAGTTTTATCTTTGGCTCTTACTCTGAGTGCTGCTTAACAGTATAGTTCTTTCCTTCTATTCTAAATTTTATGCACATTTTCTGTCTCCATTATTTTTACTGAAATGACTTGAATAACATTAACTATGTTTTGTATTTTGAAAATGTGGTGATTGGGCACAGAATATATAGAGGCTGGTTTAAAAAAAAATTCAGTTGGCCATCTGAGTAAAACCAGATGAATTCTAAGTTTACTTATATTTAGCATTGACTCTTCTGAGAAAAGCTTTTTGATGTGGACATTTCTATATAGTCTTTGGTGTTCTGATTTGCAAAATGGCATATTTTCTAACCCATGAATTATATGAGATGTAGCATTCTCATAGAAACAGTAAAAGATTTAAAACTTATGTGCTGTTGTATCATCTGATATCAGCTGTAAAAAGTGAAAATGCATATAACATTATGACTGATGTTAACTATTTCATGAGTTACAAATGGAAAGTGAAACATTGAAAAATCTCAATATGGTTTTGTTTGTGGTGAGTTTTTGCTGAATTTGAAGGTTTAATTAAAGTGAATTTTCAAAATAAGGTTAGATTTTTAGGCTTTTAGAAAGAAAGCCATATCCTTTGTTGGTGTTTTCTGGTACCACTTCTGACATCAAATATGTGGGTTTTTTTCCCACACTAACAAACAATTTTCTGATACTAACTGGATGTACAACAATTCAATTCAGCTAAACTCCCAGAGTATCACTGAGTTTAAGGGCTTAATCCCACTAGACTACCCATACTTCAAATGTCAGTTGCAAGTCCCAGAAGCCACCTGAACTTCTCACTGACCAGTTATAAATTTGTGAGTTCCCTTAATTTCCTTCTCAGTTTTCATAATTAGTCATAATTATTCACAGAACTTATAAGGGTTTCTTATAAAAGATACAGCTCAGGACCAGCCAAATGGAAGAGATGTAGAAGGCAAGGAATTGGATATGCCACCCTCTCAGCACTTTGATGTGTTTACCTTCTGAATCTCTGTCATTTGAGTTTTTATAACCCAATCTCCAGCTTCCCTCCCCTCCTGGAAGTAGCACTGAAAGTTATCACCCTCCAATCAAGGATTTAGTCTTTCTAGTAACCAGCCCTCATCCTGAAGCCATCTGGGTGCCCCACTCTAAGTCACTTCATTAGTATGAACTCAAGTGTGGTCTAAAGGGCTTGTTATGAATAACTAAAGAAATTCTATTACTTAGGAAATTCCAAGAGTTTTGGGAGATCTGTGGCAGGAATTTGGGACAAAGACCAAATATAATATTTTTATTATACCAAATTCTTGTTATGCTTCAATATTAAGAAGGTTTATTTTTTTATTGTATTGTTCATGCTATAATGTAATTAGTATACTGCTTATTGAGGAAAATTTAGTTAAAGAATGGAAAATAAATTTTTATTTGTAGCAAAAGTTTAAATTTATTGCTTTTTCTCTTACAGGTCACTGATGAATTATTGGAAAAAATTGCATCAAGAAGTCAGAATATAATTGAAATCAACATTTCTGATTGTCGTAGTATGTCTGATACTGGCGTATGTGTTCTAGCATTTAAATGTCCTGGACTTCTTAGGTATACAGCCTACAGGTGTAAACAACTTTCTGACACCTCTATTATTGCGGTTGCCTCTCACTGTCCTTTACTTCAGAAAGTGCATGTAGGCAACCAGGACAAACTTACTGATGAAGGACTCAAGCAGGTAAATTTTCGCATTTATAAAGTGATTTTACTTGAATTAATTCAAAATGTTTTCTAGCAACAACATTTTAAATGGTTATGTTAAAAAATAATGCTGAGACTCAAGTGAGTCATCTTTTTTAGATATTAATGAATATTTGTTTAGATTAGTGAACTAGAATGCCATGGTTATAATCAGTAAATTAACTGCTGTGTTTTGTAGTGAGAGCCTGAACTTCTTTGACCAGCCATTGTATTAGTTTGTGCTTTTGTTACTTAAATTTTGTACCACATTTTGCTTTAGGCAACTGTGTACTTTGGGTCAGCATGAGGTTTTAAAAATTAGCTTTTGATTTCCCTTTTATTATACTAGATGACATACATGCTTAAATTTAAGACATAAATGGAAGTTCAAATTGAAGAGCATAAAAGTTAGAACAAAGGGCTAATTACCTATATTTGGCATAATAACTGGATTAAAAATAGTATTATGCATTCCTTCTGTTTATTTCCTTTGGAAGTGACATTTAAGGTTTCTTGGCTCAGAGTGGATCATTTATTCAACAGATGAATATCCTTAAATTTAAACCTTATATATGAATTAACTGAAAGCTTAGTATGAGAAGAAATTTGGGAAGATTATCTTAAATAGTGAGTACTGGGTGTGTCAGTACAATTTATGTATTAAGAATGTTACCAACTTATAAGGGAGCCTATTTTGTTTGCAAAGGCATATTGTACAAAAAGTCTTATTTGTTTTAATATTTTTCTTGATTCATTTCTACTATGTATAGGATTATTTATTAGCAAAGCATTTTATGAAGTTCTTAAACGTATTAATCTTTTCTGAAGAAATATATATTTTGTGTATATAGCATGATTTTATTTGATCAAAATTTCTCAGCAGTTTATCTTTTACAAAGAAACATTTTAAAAATGTGTATGTGTTTATTAAGAACTAGATTAAATCTATTTTATATTTAATTCTGATATAACACAAATAGTAGTTTAGCAGTCTTCTTAGGGTATAGCTAGTAATCTTTGTGAAAAAGAATATAGGTGAAGTAGAGAAGGAGCAAAATTTAATATGCCAATCAAGTATTATGAATTTATCTTATATTTACAACTTTGAGACTAATTATGTAAATCTTCCTTAGAATGTGAGGTATTTTGGAACCTGTTAACTTACTTAGATAAGATGTTTCCTTCAGATTTTTATGGTTTCTGAATTATGAATTAATTACGTGTCAGGTAATATTCTGATAAAACTAGCAAAAACAATCAAATTTTTTCCCCCATAGGTAGTTTTATTCTTAAGTAATTACATAGGATATCATTGCAGTGTAGAGAATATTATCCTGTACGTAAGACTGCTGTAGCAGGGTATATCTGATTTCATAATAGACTCTTTTCCTCTTATGGAATAGTGTTATAGGTATTGTAGAAAGAATGGCTTTCATATATGTATAAAATAGAAGGGTATATTAGAAAGAGAATGGCTTTCATATATATATAAAATAGAAATAAAGTTTTATGAAACAATACATATCCTATGTGCAGTGCTCATTGATATTATATATTCTGTTCTATACTACTATGTTAAATAAATGTTGGCCTTGGCCCACTGATTAAATTAATTTATGACCCAGTGATATTTCATAAATCCGGCTATAGATTTATATTATGGTTTTAGTAAACTAACAATGTTATGTTAAAATGTATAATAAAGTTACAAAAGCCTAATAAGGAACTAGCCATAATTGATGATTTTATTGGGGCTGTTATTTTTTCTTGAACTCATTAATTTAGCAATTGGCTGAATTATTGATTCCACAGATTATTGCATGGTTTTGTTTTTTTACCTCATCTGTAAGTAAAAACTGACAAGTGTTTTAGAATGAGGTATGTAAATCTTATTGATAATTTCTTTAGAATATGTTTTCTTTATAACTGCCATAATTTTGATTGACTTTAGCAGACAACAAATATGTGTGCTTTTTGAATTCTGTCAGTTTGTTTACAAAAACAGTTGCTTAAAGCATTTCAATTTGGAGCTCTAATAGATGTAGACTCTGATGTTTTAAATATCGGATTCTGCTTAACAATATTTCTTAAACATGGTATAGCACCTAAAAAAGTCAGGCTGCTTTTGGCTGAATACTGTCCTTTTTCTGAAATACCACCCTGAAATATTTATATTTTTATTTTCATAGTAGTCACTCAATTTTACCATTGGAATGTATTTCTATTGTTTACATCTTTTAAAACTACAATTATGTATCTAGGGGAAAAATATTTAATCAAGCATAAAAAGTTTTTTCAATTTTCCTAATATTTTGTTATCATTTTGTACTTGCCAGCAAACAAACAATAATAGTAGTCAAAGTATTAAAATATAAGAAATTATATTTATTGTTGCAATTTTATGTGACTAATTATATGCAGTTTTAGCAGTTTAACATTCCAACTCATGGAGCTCAGTAGAAATTTCTGGAAATAAGTCACTGTAGGCTTTTTAAAGATAAAATAGTACAAAAATAATAAATGTTACATTAGTAGATTTTGATCTGGCTATGCTATCAATTTTTAGGTCTTTAAAAATAACTACTTAGAGTGCCATCAGCAAAATGTTGGAGCAGGCAGCTCTAAAACCCTACCTTTCCACAAAAACATTGAAAACAAGCCTAAACTATCAGATTCAACTTTGTCAGAACCTGGAAATGTCAAAGGTTTATACCAACCGAAGGAATGTTGAGACAGGAAAAAGACAACCGAAAGGTGGAAGGAATGCTTTGTGGCTTTTTTATTTGCCTGAGCCTCATTCCTTCCCCAGCTTGGCAACAGTCTTGAAGGTGACAGTCTTGAGTTGCCAGTGTGGGACCCAGATGCCTTGTTCCAGAGGGAGCCTAGCAGATCTTATTTGCAAATTATTGCATTTGTCCGATCAACCTACCTGAGAACTACTTGAAGGGCTGATGCAGGTGCTTATATATCTGTTTTACCTAATTCGAACACAGTCAGGCAGGGAAATTAGTGGGCATTGGTTGAACACATTATAAAGCAAATGAAAACTTGCTTTTGGGCAAGCTTTTTTGGGCAATAGAGTATGGTGAGAAATACAGCTGACCTGGGAGAAAGACCCTGACACAGAGTTTGTTTTTATTTTTATTTTTGTTTTGAAATTAGTACAATCAGCCTCAGTATATAGAAGGGAATTTAGAAAGCCACATGCATGCCCAGGGCAGGACACATGTTCAGGAAAGACCTAAGAAGACCATAAACTTTCTCACTGTGTGCTTGTTAGGCCCAGTACAAGCAGGAAGTAAAGGCCAAGGCAGAGTTGTGAATGGTATGGTTAAGTCTTAAAGGAATATCCCAGCACACAGCCAGTCTGCAAAGACTAGGATAAGTGCTTTTGTTTTTTGTTTTAGTTTTGTTTTTAAGCTTTGGCTTCCAAGGAAATCTCTTTCAAAACGCTGGCTGAACACTAGCTAAGTAATTAATCAAAAACAGTGAAACATAGGGAAGTGGGGAGAATCTAATTTCCCAAGTACCACATTATAATCTAATATTTTAATACCTAATTTTCAACAAGAAATTATAGGCATGCAAAGAAAACAGTATTACCCATTAAAACAGAATAAATAGAACCCATTCTTGAGGAAGCCTGAACATTGGATTTACTAGATAATTATTTTAAATCAAGTATCTGAAATATGCTCAAAGATGTAAAGGAAACCATGAGAACTAAAAGAAATAAGAAAAATAATGTATGAACAAATTGAGAATATCAGTGAAGAGTTAGAAATTATGAAAAGAACCAAATAGAAATTCTGGAGCTGAGAAGTACAATAACTGAAATAAAAAATTTACCAGGGGGCTTCAAGAGCAGATGTGAGCAGGTGGAAGAAAGAATAAGTGAACCTGAAGATAGGACAATTGAATTTATTGAGTCTAAGAAGCAGAAGGAAAAAAGAGTGAAGAAAAGTAAGTAGAGCCTAAAAGACCTGTGGGACATCCATCAAGCGGAAGAACATTCACACATTAGTAATTCCAGAAAAAAGGAGAAATAAAAGGGGTAAGAAGAATATTTGAAGAAATAATGGCCCAAACATCCAAAATTTGGTGGAAGATATGAATCTATACATCCAAGAAACTCAATAAATTCAAGTAGTATAATGTCAGAGAGGTCTACACTGAGACACATTATAGTCTAATTGTGAGAAGTCAAAGACAGAATTTTGAAAGCAGTAAAAGATAAGTGACTCATCACATACAAGCACTTCTCAATAAGATTTACAACTGATTTATCATCAGGAACTATGGAAGCTAGAAAGCTATGGGATGACAATATTTAAAGTGCTGAAAGAAAAAAAGTCAAGCAAGAATTCTGTATTTGTCAATACTATTAAAGCATAGGGGGGCATTCAAGGGGACATTGAGATATTTCCAGATAAGCAAAAGCTAAAGGAGTTTGTTACGAATAGATCTACCCTACAAGAAATGCTAAAGGGATTCCTTCTGGCTGAAATAAGACAGTAACTGAAAGCCATATGAAGAAGAAAGAAAACTGATAAAAGTAACTACATAGAGGTTGAAAGGATGGAAGAAGATATTCCATACCAAGAGAGAGCCTGAATAGCTGTTTTATTATCAAACAACAACAACAACAAACATTTTAAGTCCAAAAGGGATCAAAGAGACAGAATTATTATATATTGATAAATATATAATATTATTCTGTCAGGAAGATAATAGCAGTTATAACCATGTGTGTACCTAACAACAGAATCCCTAATGTGTGTGTGTGTGTGTGTGTGTGTGTGTGTGTGTGTGTGTGTGTATTTTAGGGATTCTGTCATTTAAATCATAAATGAAAGAGTAGACATTACTACTGATTTTATAGAAATAAAAAGTATTGTATGAGAAAACCATGAATAACCGTGTACCAACAAATTGAATAGCCTAGATGAAATAGAAATTTTTTAGAAATACGGAAACCAGAAAAACTGACCCAAGAAG